ATTATAAAAAAAATTTTAATTAATTATGTAAATTAAGGTTTTTATTCGTCAGAAAGAAATCACTAATTCACGATAAAAAATTATTACTTCTATTTTTAATTATTTAAAAATTTAATAGAAAGAGTTTCCCAAACAAAGTTATATATTGATAAGATTGAATTCAAACTATTAAGTTATATTAGGATTTGGATTTCATAATTATAAGGTTTGCTAATTTTTCTCTCCTTCTTATAGTAAGATATTTCCTATATTAAAAAATTACTTTTAAACACACAAAACAACAAAATAAACTGACAAATAAGCAGCCACATAATTCAACATAAAATCACGAAGTATAGCATTTTCCTTAAATTACAATGTTATCATATACTATACAAAATTTAAATTACAATATTATTCTCTATAAATTACAATATTATAGATAATGATGGATATTATGATAAAAATAATTTAAAACTCATTCTTTCCTCTCTCCTAACTAGCCTATTATATTGTAAATTTATTCTATTTTCTTCCTGTCGATTTGACAAGTCAAACCAAAAAAAAATTACTCAATCCATCCCAAAATTCTTATCTATTTTTCTATTTTGGGATGTCCTAACATAAATGTAATTCCAAAAATTGATGTACTACTTTTTATAACATTTTCAAACTATTATTTTAAACTATACAAGTGCACTAATTATGAAATATTATTTTTCTTTTTAATAAAGATAAATTTGAAATTTCGTTCAATACAATTTTCCAAACAACCCATAATTTTGGGACAGATGGAGTAATATTTTTCTATAAACCCTCTGAATTTTCAAAAATCTCCAACTAGACAATATGCATATCTGAACTTAGAAGGACAATATGGTAAATTTAAAAGAAGACATGCATTAATTGCCAATAAGTTATAAATATTTGATGCCTAATCTAAAATTGAAATGAGAGTGAAGAGAGAAAAAATAAGCTATTTTAGAACATAAATCTTTGGGCTTAATATAAAAATCGGAATGAAGGTGGGGAGAGAGGAGAGAAAAAAAAAGAAGGTATTTTAGGATATAAATATTTGAGACCTAATTTAAAATTATTTTTGGAAAAGATAGAAAAGAGAAAAAAAAAAAATTTATTATCTTAGAATATAAATCTTTGATGCCTAATATAAATTTTTTATATTTATTAAAGTTTAATAATAATAAAAAATAATTATGAACTTAATATTAAAATTTTAGAACTTTTTTACTGGCTGAAACTTTAGGCAAATTAGGATGACATAAGAATTATAAGATCCCCTGTACAAAGGAGGGGATTCTCTTCCTGAAACTACTCCATCTATTCTAAAATACTTATCATCTAACTTTTTCATTTCTTTGTTAACGTAAAATTCATATACTATTAATTGATATCTTCAAAAATGTCCTATCAAGTTTTGCAAACATGCTCTAACTTAATAAACTAAATATATTTAAATTTCAAAATTAAGTTATACTTCATCCATCCCAAAATTCTAATCCTTTTTAAAAAAATTTCTTTAAGAGGAGATACATTTAATATATTTGTTTCTTATGAAATTCTAGAACTACCCATTTGAAGGGAAAAAAAAATATATAGTTAAAAAAAAAATCAAATAAAAATATTTTGGAAAATATACAATCTTTTTGCTTAATTTGATTTTTCCATTGTGAATGAATTTTTTAAAACCAAAAAAGAGTAAATTATAAAAAGAAAACATATTAATAAATATTCCCTTTAAAAAAATTTAAAAAATGATACAATTGAATTGGGACATAAATAATAGCAGATTGACTAAAAAAAATTACGTAAAATACAATAATCTATAAAAAAAATAATAATCTAAATTCTAACCCTTCTTAACTTATATATATATATATATATATATATATATATATATATATATTCTTTTATTTTCTAAGATTTTTTTATAAAAAATTATATAATTTATAAAAAGTTCATACTTAAATTAGCAATAATCTATTTTTTTTACAAGTAAGCCACATCCAGTAATTAAAAAAGAAACCTCAAACTTTTTTCAAACTAAGGCTACGTTTGTTTGAGTGAAAAATATTTTCTTCTGTTTACTGGTGTTTGTAAAATATTTACCAATAAAAAAATTATTAAAATTCAATAAAAAAAACTTATTCATTAATTTTGGACAAATTATTTTAAACGCCACACCCCATAGATTCAACATCCACCTAGACACTTGTCAAACAACAAAAATATAAAATAAAAGAAAATATAACGCAACTATCCTTAGACAGTTGCAGATGTGACTGGTTGAAAAAATAATTATAATTAATACACTGCTTCTACTTTTATGGAGCATTAAAATATTATTTTAAAAGACAACATTACCTTATTTTGTTTATTGACTATTATTCTCTCTCCTCTTCCATCGTATAGTAAAGAAAGAGGAAGAGAAAAGTATAGTAGTGATAGAATAATCACATTTAATTGAGTTTTTGTTATTGATTTAGTAAAGAGAATGAGAGAAGTATAATAGTGATGAGATAATCACACTTTAGAGATAAGATAGTTTGATGACTAATCGATGAGTTTTCGTCCATTCTTTTTCGGACACAGGCATTTGTAATGTATGTAAGTTTTTATTTATTCAATTTTTCTTAAAATATATACTTCAGTGGAAGGTTTTTGTCTTTTCTAAAATTTTTATAAAAAAATAAACAATGTTTCTAGAAGCTCAAATATGACTTTCTAAAAAATACATTTTACTACAAAGTTTATTTCTTTATAAAAAAATAAATACATTTTACTAGAAAGTTTATGTCTTTTTAAAAATACAATGTTTTTACAAAGTGACTTTTCAAATTATAAATATACATTAAAGATGTGGAAACTTGTATAATGGCAGCTTGGTTATGTCTTCCATTCAAACTATTTTCTTTTCATAATCTACATATTTGAAGTAACTCATTTTGTTGTCATCTATCTTAATATTTTTAATTATTATTATCAATTTCTAATTTATTACATATTTTGCACGATGAACTGCAATAATAAAACACTCTTTTTATTTTTATGATTTCTTTCTTTCTTTATTTCCTACGTTATAAACTCGTCATTATAATTATTATTATATTTAAAACGTAATAATATTTATTCTTATTTGTTAGAATTTATATAGATTAAATTATTTCATCGTTGTGATGTGAATGTTGGCAAATAAGCTTAACAATCATTTTCTTATAACATTATAAACTACAGTAATAATTATAATACTATCACGTCTTCAACCTCCAATCGCAAAACATGCAGCATTTGTACCACCGTCTTCAACCCCCAATCAGAAAAACGTGAATTAGTGAACCCACCGTTTTCAATCCCCAATAGAAAAGCATGCAGCACTGTACCACCGACCAAGGGACAACTAACGAAGTTATTAACGACACTGTAAAATTGCACTGAAAACGACAATTAACAGCGTTAGTCTGCAAAGATTCCATTAAAACAAATAAATAATTGTCCGCAATATTTCTCGGTTGCCACACCATTTCTCAATTCTCAATCGATTGACACGCCATCCAAAACCAAAATATTCAAAACCCTAAGGTTGTCACTACTGAACTGAACGAAACCCTAACAAAACCCTAAAGTTATCTGCCGTGTATCCCTAACGTGTCACGCTAAACCCATATGAGTTATGGTTGAAACACGTGTTTGTATCGAGTTGATATACTTGACACGTCAATTTACAAATAGGGCTACTACACTAACAGTAAACACGAGTAAACAACCAACTCGTCAATTTAACTAACAGTAAACCCAAGTAAACAACCAACTTACAAGTTCATTAATGAATAATTAAATTATACTCCCTCCTTGTCACCATTTTTCAAACATGACAGTTATTATAAGACGTAGAAAATAATAAATAAATATTCTTACTCATTTAAGAATAACATTTGTCTTCTCATAACAATACTGATGTGACATAATGACACGTGCTCATTTTATATTTAAAATATAATAAAAGAAAAAATATATATATATATATATTTTTTCACAATGTAAGAAAAGTTAGAAATTAGTTAGATTAGTAAATGGAGAGAGTCAAAACTTGACACCTCAAAATTTATTGGAAGAACTAACTTATTAAATTATTGAGGCATCTACAGTAAAATAATAATTTAAATATACAAGAAGAAGAAGAAAAAGTGGTAAGATATTTTTGTAATATTGAGAACAATACTTTTCTTTTCAATTCTCAAAAGAAATGTTGCTCAAAATTACGTGAGAAAAAAAATATTTTTTTCTTTTTAATATTTTTAATTTCAAATACACATGTGGAATTTTGTCATGGTGTCACATCAGCCTCTTTTCAGTTGAAGAAAACATTGCTTTCAGAGCAACTGCACTTTTTGGTGCATGATGTGTTAAAAAACAAATCTTAATTTTTTCTCATGGAACATTTTTAGTATGTTAAAAACTTTTTTTGTTTAAAATATGGATAAATTACATGGTGTAAAATTCTTGTACATAATTACGTTACTATATTTTTTATAATGTAATATTTTTACATAATTATATTAGTATGTATTTTTTTTTGTTCTTTTTTTTTCATTTTGTTAACAAATAGTAAATTTGTACATGACATGTGATTAGTTATTATTGAGAGATATATTTTTTAAAAATTTAAAATAAATATATATAATTTTATTATTATATTATATTAACGTGATAATTTATTTTTAATTTTTATTATATTTTAAATTTAAAATAAACACGTGTTATTTTATTTTTATATTACATATATGGTACAGTTCAATCCATTTATAAAAACTTCACTTTTCATGATTTCTGTTATTGTGTCACATCAGCAGAGAGAGGGAAGATTTCTGTATGTTAACTGCTGGTGAGGAGGCAAGTATTACGCTTTATGGTAACGGGGTTATATAATATTATTTACCGGGAAAGGAAGTTAAGTGTTCAACGAGCCCTCAGTATTATATATACATTAAAAAAACCTAGTCTTTTCTGTTAGACTCCTTCCTATTTTCTCTCTTCCGAATGAAAAAATACTCAGCTCTTATTTTTCTCTGCCGTCCACTGATTCAATCAGATCTCCGGCAATGACTCACCTTCCCGGTAACTCTGATGATCTAATTTTTGTTTTTATTCTTATTCTGTTGCGCAGTTTTATTTATATTTGTAAAAACGGAAAAGGAAAAAGTGTCATTAACTTGAGCGATCAAAGAAAGATTCTTGGGGATTTTTTTGGATTTGTTTGTTACATTCTTTGATCTCAACTTCAACGTTTTATGAATTTAATGGAACTTTTAATACGTTTTAAATACTTTCATCCTCATGTTCTCACAATCCCTCTTTGACTGGTTTTAAGGAGCAACCGAGTATTCAAGTGTTTGAAAGATCTGTTGGTTCGGAAAGTTGTTTAGGTGTGATTTTTCAAGGTTTTGGAAAATTTTGAGTGTTGTTCATCTTCTGCACAACTCAAATTTCATTTTCTGTTTGTAATTTTTCATGTTTATTTATTTTGTTTGTTGCAGGTAATTGCTAAAATCCAAGGAAATTTACTCGGAAGTCTGCAAATTACAAGGAAGTTAAAAATCTGATAAGAAATTTGGGTCAATTTGCGAGAGGAATTTCAGTTTCCTCGGTTGTGAAATGGATCTCGGAAGAGATAGCTCGATTCCGAGGGTAGAAGATTTCCAGATTCAGAGTTCTTGGATTCCAATTACTCCAGTGAAGCCTGATTCAACCAAACCGGAGCCGATCTGTGCAGAAAAGCACCGCCTTCTAAGTGAAAGAAGCTGGTTAGAAGCAGAAAGATGCTCGACTGAATTTCCACAAGAAATTCGGACGAGTAGTGGGGTTGCATGTTGGAATTCGAACAACTGTGATGAAAGGAACAGTGATTTCTGCAACAGGGAAGAAGCTGTAGCCGGAACATCTCGCGTTTCCGGTGATTACTCTTTTTCCGATCTTCTGGCGCTTGCAGAGGTAGCCTCTACAAGTGCTACTGGCCATGAGAATAGTAATGCTGCAGCCGGTCTTCACATTCCAGATCTCAATTTCCAGATGGAAGGCTACCAGTTCGAGTCCAGCAGTCATGCAAATCTCTCACTTAATGGCCGCAATTGCACGCCGGATGTACCTCACCGTGAGTATTTCCTTGCCAATTTATGTAACTCATATTGTGCTTCCAATTATTGCTGATAGTTCGCGAGGAATGTTAGTACCGGAAAGAAATATAGATATTATATATAAATTTTTCATAATGTATTTGATTAGTACGAAATGTTATCATTACCTGAATTTTTCTGTTTTTTTTATAGAAAAATTTTATGAGATTGTTAGATTATGGAAAGTAAAGCCTAGTTGGTTCATTTTTTTAACTGTTTCTAACCGTTTTCTGAAAACTCAATTTAAAAAAGCATCTATAGCATCTAGAAACATTTTCTGTTTTCCAAGTAAGGAGCAATAATTTTTCCTCAAAATTTTCTATTCCTGTTCAAAAAATTTATATTTCCTTTCTTCTCTTGCTATTTCCATCTAACCGAATGAAGCCTAGGGAAAAAGAAATTGAAATGATCCATTTCTCAAAGACAGCACACACTTGGTTGCAATTCCACAAATGTTAGTACATTATGCATTTTGATTAGACTGCATAGACAACATGTTGGCTCATTTCAATACGATGTCCATATGGTCAACACAATGTGGAGAAAGCAATAGGATTTAGTAGGGAAAACAGAGTTGAGGTAATTGAACTTTGATGAATATTATTTAGGATAGAGACCCGTGGGCATTCCCTTGTTCTGTGTGTGCAAATTTCTCAACTTGTTCCTTGGGAATTTTACAAAGTTGAACCCCAATTTCAAAGACAGCCCCAGGATGTTTATTTTATTTTTTTTGGGTGGGGGCAAGGTTAAACCTCCAGAATTTTGTTTCTTAGACTGAAACAGAATTTGTCTGTATAAGAAAGTAGGACATGTTTCTCAGCTAAAATTCAAATAATAGGCAATCTTAAAACACAGTAACTTTGTCTTTAAATTCCTTTTTTTAATACATTGCAAAGCTAATGTGAAATCTACAGATGAAAGTCATATACCTTCCCAACCTGCCTACGGTCTCATTTCACCAGCCAGAACAACGGATAGAGTCTGGAGTAGTACCTTCTCAAGCCAGTTCTCACCAATTACACCAGAGCCGGCAAAAAGAGTAGAAGACAGACAAGTCTCTTGCATACCAAATGTAAGTGAAGATGAAAGGGCGAATCAAGCAGGAGATACTCATGAGAATGAAGTCTCCACCAAAAGGGTTGAATTGAGCGAAGATCAGTTACAGATGCTAAATGACTCATCATGTGCTGCTGTTTCCACAACACTGCAGGAGAGTCACAACTCTGACAAGGGAGGCAACCTTGGTATTGACCTGAACACAACACCACAACAGAAACAAAGAAGAAAAAAGCACAGGCCAAAGGTGGTTATAGAGGGTCAGTCTAAAAGGGTACGAAAGCCAGTGACTTCAAAGCAGACTGGTAACAAGGAAACAGCAACAGGAAAGAGGAAGTATGTCCGTAGAAATGGACTCAAGCAATCTGCAGCCACTCCCTCAACAGGGGTAATCAACGGAACTACCAATTTAGAAGCAGCTGGGAGTACTGCAAAATCTTGCAGAAGATCTTTGAAATTTGATTCCGGCAGCAGATTGAGAGATGAAAGCTCTTCACCGATGCCGCCTTCTAATTTAAACTCAGAATTTCAAACTCAAATCTTCTATACCGGAGGTCAGTCAAAATCAACAGTGCAGCTTGGCCAAGGGATGGAAGTGATGGTGGAAAACACACAAGAGGGCATTGCACGTTCCATGAATCAAGCATTCGAAGTTTACATGTCAAGCCCCACTACTCCTACCAAGGCTGATCCACCACATGAAAATTTGAAAGATGACAACCAAAATATATGCACGAGAGGAAAATGCCGAATAGTTTTCTCCGATGAAACTCATGATAAACAGGGAGAGACTGTACAAATGATGATCAATCCCAGCACTCAAACTACACCACGGAGTCCCAACGATTCTAACTGCAGCAGCAATGCAGGTCTGAACGAGAGACAGCAAGCAAGAGGATTCAAGAGAGATCGTTCATATACAAATGATGACAGTGTGAATGTGATGGGGGCTAATTACAACTCTTTGCCCGCGTACCTGATGTATCCAGTAAATAGATATGGCAATAATAAAGTTCCTGTAATGCATTTCCCAGCAATCTGCAAGAAAAAGAGAACTGAAAAGGGGCACAACTCCACCACATCTAGCACACTGTCCACTATGATTGCTGCAGATAACAGTGCAAGACGAGCAACAGCATACCCTCTGAGTGATACTTATGTAAATCCTTTTACATCAAAAACCAATTGCAGGATTTATGCAGCTCAATTTAACACTGGTGGCGAGCAAACCAAAGATGTAGCAGAAAAAGGTCCTCAGAAACAGCATTCTTTTAAATGTATGCTGTCTTTGGGCCACAAAGAGAGATTGACGAAAAGGAGATCCAAGGTGCCTACCCGAGTTCGTGACTTGGCTTCCCTACTCAGGGTTGTAAAGTGTAAACAAGTGCCAACATCTGGTGATATGCAAGGATTTGGAACTTCAAATCAACCTCATACATGCATGGAAGCCCTAGTTGCAGACACCCGTCCAACAATGACAACAAGGAAGCGGACTAAGAGAAATTCTCTCGTCAGTTCAGTGCCTCCCAATAGATATAATCGCCGCAAATCCCTTGTCAAGTTGATAGGTACTTCCTTTACATTAAAATATATGGCAATCAATTTTCAAGAAAACCAACCATTCTGCTAAGTGATTCTTTCTCTAACATGTTCAAGACAATTCCTGCAGGTCTTCCAGGTGCATTTTGGAAAAGCATGTCTCCCATTGAGGAGATTGTTGAGCAATTAACGTGCCTAGATATCAATAAAGAAACAAACCAAGTCACATATCAAGAGCAGAGTGCACTAGTCCCTTATAATAGGAGATATCTAGAGCAAAATGCACTTGTTCTTTATCGAAGAGACGGAACTGTAGTGCCTTTTGAGGGTTCATTTGATCCAGTAAGGAAACGAAAACCACGTGCTAAAGTTGACCTTGATGATGAGACAAATAAAGTGTGGAAGCTCCTTCTGGAAAACATCAACAGTGAAGGCATTGACGGTACAGATGAGCAGAAGGCAAGATGGTGGGAAGAGGAACGAAGAGTTTTCCGTGGACGAGCAGAATCATTTATTGCACGCATGCATCTTGTCCAAGGTACATCTACAACATTCCAAATTGTTATTAGCTGACATCCTAAACATTTTGATTCAGTAATGCATGAATAATGTTTTCTTATTGAACACTTTCTGTATCTAAGCTATACATGCAATTATGCACAGTAAGGATATGAATAAGAACCAACACCCATTCAGCTTGTATACTAGAAAAAGTTAAAGATAAGAAACTCCAGCAACAACTTTAACTATTAAGAGAAAGAATGACTTAGTTTTTCACAGACTGAAATATTATTAATATATATGTAACATGCAAGAACTCAACCCTCCATTAATATAAGAAATGTTGTATTCCTTAAATTCCCTTAAAAAAAGAGATACAAAGATGCTTAGCACTTCCTCCAAGACTGAAGCATTTCCTTTCCTTTTCTTTTCATTCATACTCTCCAGAACCAAAATGTTGCATTCCATGTCTTTAGAGGTAAAATAAAGATGAGAGGAAAGAACTAAGAGCATCCAAAAGATGAAGCATCTCTCTCCTGAATAAATCAAATTTGAAAAACAAAGCAACAAACTATCTTTTGTAACCATATCACCTTCTCAATTCGTGGGGCAGGAAATAAAAGATGTAAAAGATATCAAGTTGTTGGTAAAGATAGCAGCTAAGAAGCACAGATACAGAAACGGAACACGATACAACACGGATACGCCGACATGTCAAATTCTAAATGACAAGGCTAATATAAATATAAATTTTTATTTTGTATCTATTGAATGAGACAATCATAGAACTTTAATTAATTTACAAACTCTGTACTAAGGTTACATAAGCTATCTATTTGATTATGAAAAAAAAATATGTTATATTATATATGATATTACTATTATATCTTGTCATTATAGTTATGTTTTTGTTCTTGAGAGGTTGAACACTTTAATGTATGTCCGTAATGTTGTTTCCAGGATTGCCATGAGTTTGTTTTATATAAGATGAAGAGTGTAGGATGTGTTGATCGTGTGACTAGAATGTGTTGACTAAGTGTCCAAGATGTGCCGACCAAGTGTCCAAGATATGCCGTCCAAGTGTCCGAATAGATTCTTTCTTTAGATTCCTTTTCCAATGTATTAATTTCTTTTAGATTCCTTCTCCAAAGTCCAAAATATTCTTTCTCAAGATATATGAACAGCATCATCACTCAACAAAGAAAGCTTCCAGGATGGAGTTCAAAACACTAGTTTATCTCCCAAAACCTGCATATCTCCAGCAAGAAGAATAATAGTAACATATCTATGCCCATTAATCAACTTTTACTAAAATTCTATATATTAACAATATAATGTATTTCCACAGGAGATCGACGATTCTCCCCATGGAAAGGATCAGTTTTGGACTCTGTGGTTGGAGTTTTTCTTACTCAAAATGTGTCAGACCATCTTTCAAGGTCAGCTAAAGTTTGATTTTTTTATAAATTTAACAAGAGTTAAAATGGAAAACCTTTTTAATATATTTCTTCATTCCTTGCAGCTCTGCTTTCATGTCGCTTGCTGCACGATTTCCGCTCAAGTCAGATAGCAATTGTGGCTCATCCCTGGAAACGAGGACGAGCATATTGGTCAAAGAAACAGATGTATGCAGACTGGATCTGGAGGATACCATCAAGTGGCAAGAAGAGAAATCAAATCACCCAGCCTGTGACCAATGTTATACGATTCTCCATGACGTGGCATACTGTGAAGAAAAAGTTGTCAACAGCCACGAATCTCTTGAAAGCAACACTTGCGGTATTAGGTCAACAGATAATTCGAAATGCAACTTGTCAAATTCACCAGGAAATGATCTTGGAACATGTCGCGAATCAGCAGTAAACAGATCAACTACTCAGATAACAGGTGCAGTGGCAAGTTTTGTGGAAAATGAAACAGAAACAGATGGAGTACTCTCTTCTCAGAATTCTGTAGTTTCCTCTCAAAATTCTGTTGACACTTTCATTGCTCAAACTGCCGATAGATCAAGAACATACTTCCAGAGCAATTTAGAAGCAGAGCCAACATATGGATCTAATTCCAACAGTTTTGGTAGCTCTACTTCCTTCATGGAACTATTACAGAGGGTCGGAACCGAAATGTCACACGGAGTTGACAATCATGCAAGTGAAATTGTGGAAGTTGAACCCTTTGGCATGTTGGAAGAAAGCAATTGTTCTGATTTTGTCAAGAAAAATGAAGAAAATTGTATGAGTGAACACAGTGAATCACATATTCAAGAGCATGACAGTAGATCAAAGCAAGTTCTTGAAACCACAAAATTTTCAGGCTTTGATGTTACTGAGAGCACCAGCACAATTGATAACCCAAGGAGAAATGAGCACAAGGCAGTTGAGTCAAATTTGAATGACCGTGGTCATCTTCCTGGCAAGACAGTTGATCGGATTAATACTGATACTGCAAAAGTGAAGAGGGGAAGAATGGGAAAAGAGAAACAGAATGCAGTTGACTGGGATAGCTTAAGAAAAGAGGCACAAGCCAATGGCAAAAAAAGAGAGAGAACAGCCAACGCATTGGACTCATTGGACTGGGAGGCAGTAAGATGTGCAGATGTTAATGTGATTGCCAACACCATCAAAGAAAGGGGAATGAACAACATGCTTGCAGAGAGAATTAAGGTACACTTCGACATTTGCTGACATTCCATAGCAAAAAATCTCATACTTGACAATGTGAGGCTTGTGAGCATCAGTTGAATGAGCCATGTTAAAATTACTCACAATATACAGAAAGCCCTTTAGATCAGCTGACAATTTTTGAGAAATTTATGCAGGATTTTCTTAACCGGCTAGTTAGAGAACACGGGAGCATTGATCTTGAATGGTTACGGGATGTTCCACCTGATAAAGCAAAGTAAGTCACATTAAACCCTCAGGTCATTTTATATGTTAAACAATTGAATATTGCTGTTATATATAACCTAATCTACTGAAGTGACAAGGTCTACTTTTTTCTTTTTATATAAGTATTAAAAGCAAAATATTTACCTTTGATGCTTGTAGAGAGTATCTATTGAGCATAAGAGGGTTGGGATTGAAAAGCGTGGAGTGCGTGCGGCTTTTGACGCTTCATCATCTAGCTTTCCCGGTAAGTTGTAAATTACATGTTCTTGAATCAAGATGGAACAAATCTCAACTCAAACATTTTTATACTTGTATATCTTCAACAAGGTTGATACAAATGTTGGACGTATAGCTGTAAGACTAGGATGGGTACCCCTTCAGCCGCTGCCCGAATCACTACAGCTGCATCTTCTTGAACTGTAAGTATTAAGTGCCAACTAATTTACTGATGCAAAATTTCAAGATTCTTAGTATAAAAGCTGATGTTGTTATCCCTACGCAGGTACCCAGTGTTGGAATCGATTCAGAAATATCTCTGGCCACGACTCTGCAAGCTTGATCAGAAAACATTGTAATTAAAAGCTCCTCCTTACTTTTAGACACTAACTGATAGATGCGTACATTTCTTATATACTAATTGGCAAGACAACAAAAAATATATATATTTTCAAATCTAGCAACAACATTCTTTTTTTAATAATTTTAGTTCAAGCAATGGTATTCACTGATTTGTAATGCCATTTAATAACAGATATGAGCTACATTACCAGATGATAACCTTTGGAAAGGTATTTCTAATTTACTAGAACTATGAGATGGTTTCTCCTGACTGATGATTAATTGTAAGGAAAGGCTAACAGGGACCATTATTACTCTTTTGCAGGTTTTTTGTACAAAAAGCAAACCAAATTGTAACGCATGTCCAATGAGAGGAGAGTGCAGGCACTTTGCAAGTGCATTTGCAAGGTTTGCACATCAATTATTCTGAATTACTGCATCCAAAGCGCCACACAAATTTATTTCTGAAGATCTAGTTGTGAAGGGAACTATTTTCATGTGTTTAACAGAATCTAGAATTCTATCAATCTAAGCAAAGCATATTCTGATATACTGAACCACTGATAAAAATATTGAATGCAGTGCAAGGCTTGCCTTACCAGGGCCAGAGGAGAAGAGCATAGTGAGTGCATCTGATAACCAAGCAGCTAATCAGAACCCCATTGGGATCATCAATCAGTTGCAGCTACCTCCACCTCTGGCTAATCAACAATCAGAAAAAATGCAGTCTGAAATCAATAGCTGTGAACCAATTGTTGAAGAACCATCAACACCAGATCCTATAATTGAAGTACCAGCAACGCCAGAACCAGGGCACACACAAATGACAGAAATTGACATCGAGGATACCTTCTGTGAAGATCCGGAAGAAATTCCTACAATTAAGCTCAACATTGAGGAGTTTTCTCAAAATTTACAAAATTATATGAAACAGAATATGGAGCTTCAAGAGGGTGAGATGTCAAAGGCGTTGGTGGCTTTAACTCCAGATGCAGCTTCGATCCCTATGCCTAAACTTAAGAATGTGAGCAGGCTAAGAACAGAGCACCAGGTGTAAGTAAAAAGTTTCCCCACATGTTTTCACAAATTAGCATAAGAATGATGCTTCTCAAAATTTTGTTTTCCCTTGACCATTATAGAGTATTGAATAATTGTTATATACTACTAATTAACTCTTCCCCATTCTGCAGCTATGAGCTTCCAGATACACATCCATTGTTGGAAGGGGTTAGCAATACATATATATTGTTAGAATATAATTAGCCCTCACATATCCAAAATTATTTTCTGATTAACTACACTTATTTACAGTTGGACAAGCGAGAACCTGATGATCCATCCCCATACCTTCTTGCCATATGGACACCCGGTGAGTAGACAAGACCAACAAATCTATGGTAACACAAATAACCATGCTCTTTTTGGCGGCTCAAACATCATGTCCACAATTGTATGCCTGCAACATCCATTGTCAAACTTAGAAGATATGAAAAAAAATGTTCAATTAGTTAATTCATGTCTACTTTAGCTTTTTGTGTTTGCTAATTCATTTTACCAAATGTCTCAATTGTCCATGTCAGGTGAAACTGCAAATTCAATTCAACCACCAGAAAGAAGGTGTAGCTCCCAAGAATTTGGCGAGCTATGTGATGAGAAGACATGTTTTTCATGTAATAGCATACGAGAAGCAAACTCCCAAATTGTTAGAGGAACACTTTTGGTGAGGATAATGATTGTAGCTATTACTTTGATAGCCACACTTGCACACAAACACTATGCCCCTATAGGGGCTTGAACCCTCAAACTTCCATTTGGAAGGAGGAAGTACCCCTTGAACTGAAGCATGGTGGTTTTATATTCTAATATTACCTAATATCTTGACACATCATCAACAGATACCATGTCGAACAGCTACGAGAGGAAGCTTTCCACTCAATGGTACATATTTTCAAGTTAACGAGGTAGATAATTAGACTGACACTCAGCTCGCTCTTATTATTTCCTGCATTTCAAAGTCACCTTTTCTTATTAAGCACCTAAAACAAAAGAAATTGTTCCTGTGCAGGTGTTTGCTGACCATGATTCTAGCATTAACCCAATTGACATCCCTAGGGCTTGGATATGGAATTTGCCAAGACGAACGGTGTTCTTTGGGACCTCCGTAACATCAATATTTAAAGGTAAAAGATCATGAAGAGAACTCATTAATGATATAAGTTCAAAAAACAACATTCAAAAAATTTTCTTTTCTTATCAGGTCTACCAACTGAAGGCATTCAGTACTGCTTCTGGAGAGGTATGTCAGAATGTCAGGCTCCTGTTTTTATGTCATCCCACTGCTTCTGTTATTTCCTATTTATTTACACAAGAAATTATAATAAAATAGAATAACATTTACCCATTATTGCACAAGAAAAATAAAATAAAATCCTTCTAATACTAAATTAGTGTAGGCACTCTATCCTCGCTAAGCATGAGTATGCATGGGAACAGAGAAACACATTAATAAAATCTCAATTGTGCATGTGTCAATGCGCACACAAATCTAGCACATTAGTCATACTCTGTGTTAAGCTGATTTTTTTTGCACTGCTCTGAAGTTTCGAAATTATGTTTTCCAGGGTTTGTTTGTGTGAGGGGATTTGACCTGAAGACAAGGTCGCCCCGACCCCTCTTGGCCAGATTGCACTTCCCAGCTAGCAAGTTAACTAAGGCAAAAGCTAAAAAAGATGATCAGTAGGCAATCATGCACTCACGGAGGCAGACACCAGATTCGACCGTTCAAAGACCCATGCAGAAATTTAGGAATGACAGAGAGGAAAATTGGCTAACTTGTAGAATCCCATGATGAATGGACAAGTAGTTTGTGAATATTTAACATAATGGTAGCTCTCAGTACATGCTCAAAGTAGAGTTTTTTTATTTTAGAATCAGCAAATATTCCATCTACATGGTTAGTTGTGTTCATGCGTTTTACATGTGTTATGTTATTTTTCCTTCTTGACTTGAATTATTTGGTCGCAAGTAGAGGCTATTGTTCATGCATATACAGAAAGGGACTGAAAATCTCATATAAGACTTGTAGCTACCCTTCATGGAAATACACAGCAAAGAATGACTGAAAAGTCCAAGAAAAGGGCAATGAAAGAGTTCAGAACCGGTTTCAGTTTTTATTCGTCCACAACAACTGCTAACTGTTGGAGATGGAGATCCATTACCAGTTAGCTACCTCTAGAATAGCGCTAGACATTCTTGGCCAGGTTCCATAATGGAAGGGAAACCATGGAAGGAATTGAATTGGTGAGGCAGGATGAATGGATGGACAAGAAAAATGTTAGTCTAAAAAAAGGATGGTCTAACCTGAAATGCTCCCGCTCTGCATGTGCAGTAGAGGGACTGGATTTGTATCGACGAGAATAAAAACCAAAAGCTTTGCCCACTCTTACCAACTACATTCTTGAAATTTCCAGCATCCGGTACTGATTATATTTAGGTAAACGCAGCTGCAGAAAACATTAAATCAAGAACAGGAATGACGCCTTCAGCAATACATCCACAGATAAAAAGCAATTACACAAGAAACATGATTTAACATATTTCACCAAATTCAGCTATACATCCACAGATAGAAATAGACAATCCACTGTAAACACACACACACACATATATTATGTATGTATGTATGTATGGAGTTACAGAGATAGGACAAAGAACCCTGTATATTTGCTTAGCATATCCTGCAACCAATACTGAAGCCATTCCCAATGTACCTACATATAAACCAAACAAGTATCACGTTACCCTACTTGGAATCTGTGTTCTTTCATTTCTAATAACCAACTCTAACAAGAAATCCAATAGTTTGCATGAGACTGTTAAATATGAGAGTTTGGCTTTCTAGTCCATTTTTATCAAGTTTGCCAGTACTGGTTAATTAGTGCAGATTACCAATTATTGTCTTTGATATGCAATTCTTCACTTACCCCCAAAATAAAGAATAAAAATATATATAAAAAACATAGTTTAATGTGGCGATATCAACGAAGATTGAACATTGGGAACTGAAGGGAGATTGTCCATAGCGAGGTTTCATGCTGAACAGGATTGAAGCAAATTGATATGCATAGTTTTAACTATAATCTACATAATCACATTTACAAGGAAATGTAGTTTTTGAAATCAAATAGACACACGGGTTGGGGGCAAGATACTATTTTTCTTGAAGCAATGTCAGTTCACAAACTCGAAATCAAGAATCACAAATTTGATGTGGTATATATGGTGATATAGGAAGTGACAAATTTGATATGGCATGATGATCTAGATTTCAAATAAAATAGTATATATATCATTTTGTGAGGAGTTACATATTCATTCAAAATGGTTAAATCATTGAGCCAGTTAAGCATTACAGACCTGATAAAAATGGACAAAAAACCAAACTCTTGGAACTCTCAACTTGTCTTACTTCCCCCTAGTATTTACAACACCCACTGCCCAAAACTGTATTTTTCATAAAAGAACTGAAAATGTCATATTGGTGGTTAATTTGGCCTAGTCTAAGGTTACTTTAATTAAATGGATTCTTCCAATTGTAATTCACACAAAATGATTTGAATATGCGGAGTCAGAAATTAATTGAAGCACTGTGCAAGGCAGACCAGACTCCAATTCCAACATATATATATATATATATTCAGCTCAGAAGTTAGCTCTTGAACTTTGGGTGTTCTGTAGGTTTGTTTCATAGGAAACAGAATAAGGGAGCATAATGACTGTTCAAAGTTTCAGCATGGTTTTCAGACGCATTATATGTAAATATGTCTAGAAACTATTTTGGGACTTGGGCATAAGACAATGGTAAATGTGCCTACAAATCTCTCCACTCCAAAGGCCTCTATAAAACCACTGCTATATATTACAAAACTAATCAACAGAGTTGTAATATAATTAATTTCCTGTCTTACATGTATCTTTGTAGGAGTAAAGTAAGATTGGAGATAGCAATTCTCTTAAAATTCAAAACTTACGAACGAAATGTTTATTTAGACAACCTACAAAATTTTCGATAAAACTAAACAGACAGCCATGACAAATAAAACAAAATCTGAGGCTAAACTAGTTATTCTCAAATTGACCTGACAAAATAATAAATTCCAGTCAATGAGCGACAACTCAATAAATGATATTAAAACACACACATACTTAAATTACGTATATGTATGTATGAAGTTACAGAGACAGCACAAATAACACCTTAGTACCTGTATGTTTGCTTAGCAAATCCTGCAACCAAGCCCTTCCCAACGTACCTATATATAAACCAAACAAGTATCACGTTACCCTACTCGGAATCTGTGTTCTTTCATTTCTAATAACCAACTCTAACAAGAAATCCAATAGTTTGCATAAGACACTGTTTAATATGAGAGTTTGGCTTTCTGGTCCATTTTTACCAAGTTTGCCAGTAATGGTTAATTGGTGCAGATTACCAATTATTATCTTTGATATGCAACTCTTTGCTTACCCAAAATAAAGAATAAAAATATATAAAAAAACATAGTTTAATGTGGCGATATCAACGCAGATTGAACACTGGGAACTGAAGGGAGATTGTCCATAAAGAGGTTTCATGCTGAATAGGATTGAAGTAAATTGATATGCATAGTTTTAACTATAATCTATATAATCACATTTACATGGAAATGTAGTTTTTTTAAATCAAATAGACACACGGATTGGGGGCAAAATACTATTTTTCTTGAAGCAATGTCAGTTCACAAACTAGAAATTAAGAATCACAAATTTGATGTGGTATATATGGTGATATAGAAAGTGACAAATTTGATATGGCATGATGATCTAGATTTCAAATAAAATAGTACGTACATTATTTTGTTAGGAGTTACATATTCATTCAAAATGGTTAAATCATTGAGCCAGTTAAGCATTACTGACAGACCTGATAAAAAATGGACCAAAAACCAAACTCTTGTAACTCTCAACTTGTCTTACTTCGTGAGTATTTACAACACCCACTGACGAAAACTGTATTTTCATAAAAGCACTGAAAAGGTCATGTTGTGGTTAATTTGGCCTAGTCTAAGGTTACTTTAATTAAATGGATTCTTCTGATTTTAATTCACACAAGATGATCTGAATATACAGAGTCAGAAAATAATTGAAGTACTGTGCAAGGCAGACCAGACTCCAATTCCAACCTATATATATATATATATATATATTCAGCTCAGAAGTTAGCTCTTGAACTTTGGGTGCTGTGGAACTGTGGAGGTCTGTTTCATCGGAAACAAAATAGGGGATCGTAACGACTGTTCAAAGTCCCAACATGGTTTTCAGACGCATTAAATATAAATGTCTAAAAACTATTTTGGGACTTGGGCATAATGCAATGGTTAAATGTGCCTACAAATCTCTCCACTCCAAAGGCCTCTATAAAACCCCTCTCACATCCCTCCACTGCTATATATTACAAAACTAATCTACGAGTTGTAATATAAGTAATTTCTTGTCTTACATGTATCTTTGTAGGAGTTAGGTAAGGTTGGAGATAGCAATTCTCTTAAAATTCAAAACTTATGAACGAAATGCTTATTTAGACAACCTATGAAATTTTCTATAAAACTAAATAGACAGCCATGACAAATAAAACAAAATCTGAGGCTAAACAAGTAAGTTATTCTCAAATTGACCTGACAAAATAATAAATTCCAGTCAATTGAGCGACAACTCAATAAATGATATTAAAACATGTAGCTCAGTTTCTGAAAGACATGCAATGGGGAACAGCCTGCAATATGCAGTAGCAGACCATTCTTCCATGGCAGGGTAAGGTAACATTTTACATATATATACACACTTTTGGCTGTATATTAATTATTGCAGTTTGTTCTTTTTCATTCCATGTCTTACACACTGGTTTATAAGTTTTAACACAAAAATAAATCAGCGTGTCAAAGACATGCAATGATAAAAGGGATAGAGGTTGACGTTTAGCCTAGTAATTTGGAAATAAACACAATTTTAAAAGAGACAATCCATAAGAAACTAAAGTTAGTGTAGAGCTTCCTAATCCGTAGCTGTGTGTTTATACAAAAACTTCAACCGATGAACAGAATTAACATCAATTCCCTCTCTTTGTTAAACAAAAAATCACAATTAGGCAAACGTCAAGGAATCACAACATCTATACCTATATATAGATACAAACACATATATATAACTAAATGGAACCATTCTTTCCTAATTTATTTCACTCAAAATGATCTGAATATAGAGTCAGGAATTAATTGAAGCACTGAGCAAAGCAAACCAGACTTCAATTCCAACATATATATCCAGCTCATAAGTCAGCTCTTCCGAGACAATGGTTAAATGTGCCTACATATTTATATTTATTTAGTTAGTGTCTGATAACCATGTTAGGTCTTGGGACAGTCATTACAATCTCCAATTCTCTCTCTCATAAAAAACAGACATCCACACCACCCAAAATTCATTATTATATATCCCTCCACTCCACTTCTATATATTACAACAATAATCAATATAGTTGTAATATAAGTATTTGTTGGAGTAAAGAAAGATTGGAGATACCAATTCTCTTAGAATTCAAAACTTATGAATTAAATGCTTATTTAGACAACCTATGAAATTTTCTATAAACTAAAAAGCAAGTTATTCGCAAATTTACCCAGCAAAACAATAAATTCCAGTCAATTGAGCGACAACTCAATAAATGATCTTAATTCCAGCGTTGTCGTATATTGCAGGCTGTCCTCTTCCATTGCATGTCTTCCACATACTAATTTATAAGTTTTAATATATATTAAAAAAAAAAAAAAGGCAAATCGAAGACATGCAATGATAAAAGATATAAGAGGTTCTAAAAAGGGACGTTGAGCCTTGTAATTTGGAACTAAACACAATCTTATAAAGAGAGAACGGATCAGAAACCAAAGTTAGTATAGAGCTTCCTAATCACAATCC